ACTTCCATAACTTTTTCAAAAATCAACAAATCAACATAATTTTTTTTTAAACTAAAACCTTAGATAATTTTCTTTCATTTTTTTTATATATTTTTTTATTTGTTTAATAAAATAAAAAATTTTAATTAAAATTTATTCAAAAATTTAAAAGTGTCATTTTTAGATCTTTTTTACAAAAATATGATTGGGTCAACAATAACTTGAGTACTTCTTCAGTTACAAACGATTTTATACCCACTCAATTAGTTACAGAATAAATATAATTTAAACAATTTTTTTTTGTGGTTATCTTTAGTTACACATTTTTGAATTATTAACTATGTAATACTTTTTAAGTTCATCCCTTATACTTTGTAAGGGTGTCAAATTTTCTAATTTTGTGGGAAGAGTGACTAAGTCCCCCTCTAGAACTCCTTAGTTACGCTATTGATAAGAGGGTCAACAATTTTTGAACCAATGTATAAATAAAATTTATTTTTCCGTGTAAAATATTTAGAATGAACTTCACTGCTATAAATAGATCTCTGAAATATTTTTTTACTCTAATTAAAATTTAACAATACAATTATTTGAATTACTAATTATAATCTATCTTATCTAAACAATATGATGATTGACATTTCACTAAAAGTTATATCTATTTTTTTAATTAATGAATTTTAATTAAAAGTGTAAATAAGAAGGTTAATGAAATTAAAACTCCTTATAAATTATCTATAGACCTATGTCTAATTATTATTATTTTGTTCTAGATGTATTTCACATTTACCAATCAAGGGGGTGGAGGAAAAAAAAGGGGGCTACCACCACCCAATAACAATAAAGATATAAAAAAAAAATTTAGAGGTGGTAAGTTATTAAAATTTATTTTACATAATTTTCTATTACCATAGAGGCGAGTGGGGTAATTGTAAATTTATTTTTTCTCTAAGATTATTTAGCAGCTTTTATTTTATTTTAAAAGTTCTGGTCCTTATATGTGTTACTATCATATTAAATATAACATGGAAATATAATCATGTGCATTCATCATTTAAAATCCATTCACAATTACCCCAATTTACCTTAAATTGGGATTTAAAAAAAACTTAAATTGAAGATTACAATGAGAATTACACTATTTTGATAATTTTCAGCTTGCAATCACTGTGGCCAAAATGGCCACATAATAAAATATTGTCATGTAAAAGGTAATAATTTTGTTTAATTCTCTCTAGTATAACCTATTATATAGTTACCAAATATTGGGTTATACTTTCCATGAGTTTTTATACATGCATAATGTTTAATTTTGTCATTATACTTAATTGAGACTAATAAAATGATTGCTAATTTTAGTTATTTCTTAGCTGCTGGTCTGCCTCCTGTCCAAAAACCAAAATGCGAATATTGTGATCTCCCCGGTCATACGGAAATAGAATGTCATGTCAAAGGTAATATTTGTGATATATTTCTTTTTAAATTTAATAACATTCTAAAAGTAATTTTTCTCATCTAAAAACTGGTCTTATTTTAATAATTGACGTAAGCCTACAGTGGTTAATCCTGATTTATTTTATGTTGCATATTTAATAAATGATATTGTGTCAATTGTTACTAATTTCGTGAACCCATAATTATTTTGTAAATTTTAGTGTAAAGGAATTTATATGTAACATTGTAATTACTAGAAAGTAAGATTATACTGTCAGTTACCTTAATTGAAGAAAGTATTATGGTATTAATATTTAATGAATAGTGTAAATACAAAAGGGGATTTAGAACACCCAGTTCATCACACTAAATCAATCATGAATACTACACTAATTAAACAATATTCATAATTATGATCTATTTTTACCTTGATAATAAATCCTTATTTTTTAATTATAGCAGCTGGATATCCACCTATGGCAGAGATATGCAAATATTGCCATTTCCCCGGGCACGGGGAACCGGAGTGCCACATTAAAGGTACTTATTTATTTTAATTTGTTTTTCATTTGGTTTTTTAAAGGTCTGTTGGCAACCTTTATAGGATGCATTGTATATTTTTAGTTAATCTAGTTTATAATAAATTTAATTTGATTTTTAAATTTCAGTTGTTATATACTACCTTAATTTTTAAAAATCAATACAGTAAAATTTATATTTTTATAATTAATTAAACAATAATTTAAAAGAAAAATTCTAACTAACAACAATTCTGATTTTAAAGTTTTAATTTCTATAACATTTTTTATTAATAAAAATTGCCAAATGAGTTTTAAATGTGAGGAAAAAAATATATTTATTAATACTTGGACATTTTTTATAGGTTCAATTTAATAAACACAATCTCTATAAATCTAGTTTCAAATTTTATGTAATTTTACACATAAAATAATACAAATTACATTGGTGCAAATCTTAGAGAATGCTACAATTATGGTTTTATGAAATTGAAGATTTTAACAACTTCTTTTTTCTTTTTAAATTTTATGAAACAATGACAAAAATACAATTATGAAGTAAATTGATAATATAGAATTTCAAAATATTTCTCAATTTACTAAACGTTGGACCACTGTAAAACAATACCTATAAGATAACTAATTTAAACAAAAACATTTTTTTTTAGCAGCAGGATTGCCGCCGCTAACAGATGAAACTCAAAACAACAAATAAATAAATTCATATATTTATTTTTTAATTATTTTAAATAAATTATATTAAAAAAAATCTTTGTTAA